TTAAAAAACAAGCTAACGGCATACTGCTTCGATTTTTTTTTAAAAAAGTCTTAAATTAAATACATGAAATAGTTTGACGTTTTGAATATAGTAAATGAAGATAGAAAGTTGAAGTCATTTTTATAGCCCTGAAATAAAAAAATAAAAAAGTTTAATGTAAGACAATATTATAAAATTTATAAAATGTAGTATCCTTCGGTCGAGGAAGTCACTGTTTTTCATAAATAATTATTTTTATAACTTAAAGTAATAAAAACGTATAGGTTTGATTAAGTAGAAAATGTTAATAAAAAGTCATGTTTCATTCAAAACTTTTAGAAAAGTAAAATTAAACAAGAACTTGTTTACTGTTTCTGAGCTGATTGGTTTTCGATACTTGTTTGATTCGTCAATATATACCTATTTATAAAGTAACATTATAGAGTTCAACTATAGATCTAAAAAATATTCCATAAAAATTTTACTATAACTTTACAGTTTTATATCCGAAAATACGTATAGTGAATCAGATAATTTATTATCGCTTTTATAAAATGTGTAACATAATATTTGTTGCTTTTTGCTTTTTTTTAAAACCGATAAATTCGTATTTAGGTAACGTAAATATTTTTTAGTTTTATACGAAAACATCTAATTATTTCAACAATACACGTGTTAAATATTTCTCTGCTTATGTACTACAACTTTAGACCAATGACAGGTATTTGCCTCTCGGTATTCAAAACTCAATTCACCCTCAAACTAGTTTTATCCATACACCGAATTAGAATTATTTTAATAAATGTAAAACAACAGAATAACAGTAAAAGTTTCATAATACACCAGTTGTACCACAAAATATTATAGGCGAGAAGGTATAATGGCACTAAATGTGTATGGCATATTCTTTGGATAATGACGTAGCTACAATCGATAAACATTGACAAACCAAAATAATATCATAAGCTCTTCACCTAGAAAGGCTGAAAACCAAACTTTTATTTTTGTATATACTATATTTTGAATAGCTTAAAATATAATTTTTGACAATTCTAAAATATGTGACATGTTTTATTTTTAGTTATCACATACAAAAAAAATTATAAACTAAAACAATAAGTTATAAGGAAACAAAAAAATACTTGCCTGGAATTGGAACATTTTTAAAACCACCACCAGCTCGCTAAATCTTTAAATTCGCTTTTTGTCATAGCTAGAAATGATTATAAAAGTATTCACATCAAAATTTAACAAACTATAATACACTGTAAATACATTATTAAGTACAATATTTGTTAATAACGGGTATTATCAAAAGCCATCTAACTACTCCTCAAAAATATTGTAAAAAAAAACACCTACCGAAAATAATTTACGCAAAACATCAAAGTAATTATTAGATATTCACATTTTACATAGATATTATTTTACAATATCTTTTACTAAATTATTATTATGTGTCGTACCTGGCGATAGATCTTTTATTATAGGAGTCAAAGTACCAACGGTTAGACTATATTTGGATAAGTTGTCTCTTAAGTAGCTTTCTATGAACACTTTGTCCACCTTTTTACCATCAAAACTACTGTAAGTTGTATATAGTCCGTCAACATAACTTATGATACCTTCAAAAGTGTAGTCCAATTGCTAAAATCATTACATTTTTCTTTTAATACACAACGTCGTAACTATTATAACATAAATAAATGTAGTAATTTTTCACTAGATTTATAGAGTATTTATGATTATATATATTTTTTTTTAATGAATCATATATTCAGAAAAAAATTCATTTTTACCTCATCAGTTAATTTGAATAACTGTATGTTCATTGATTCTTTAAATTCCTCTTTTGACATAGGAATATCTATTAAACGTTGTAAAAATATCCATGTTAAAATTTAACAAACTATATTATTATGTAACAAAATAAAAGATTGTAATTATTATTATTGTGTTTTTATGTATAATAATTGGTCAAAACTGATATTATTAAAAGCCATCTAATAACAATTATTCTAATTATCCACTTGTTTAATTTCTAGATAAACTACAATCGTGTTTGAAAAAAATGTATGAGAATGTCGTTAGATGAATCTTTCAATGTTAACTACAACTCGCCTAAAGAAAAAAGATAAATCGTTTTATATTTGTTGATCTTGTTCTTCCTGAAAATCTTTACAGACGATTTCTGCATAATATTGTTAGTTTTTCACATATATGTTTTACAATATATTTTACTAAAATATTGTTATTATTCAACGTACTCGACGGCAATTTTTTAGTTACATATTGAATTTCCTGTTTAGATAGTATATGTTTCGATCCAATGCTTTTCTTACGTAAGTAGTCTTTTACTAAACGCTTGATAACATATCCTGTATCGTCGTTTTGTACTGCTTCATAAAGTTTTTCAAGATCCTAAATAATTACATTTTTATTTTATTTTTAATACACATTTCAAATACTACTATTTTAGAAATAATGTTTCTCTAATTATGTCTAGATTATTATTTAATAGGTTTATATATTATTTAATTATTATAATTTTTTTTAATGTATAATATTTTTAGATTTTAAAATAATACATAAGTCAAACTCTCCACCACAAGATATTACCTCATAGGAGGATTGCCCATATTACAAATTCTTTTATTAAATTTTGTTTATATTATACTGTAAGTTATGTTATATACGTACACCACGGAATCAATTGGAATTAAATGTATTATTAGATAAAAAAAATGTAAAATTACCTTATCAGTTAAATATTCTATTTTTGCTTGAATTAATTCTTTAAATTCCTCTTTTGACATATGAATGTCTAGAAATTATTATGAAGTGTTGATATTAAAAGTTACCAAACTAAATTATGCTGTAATGAATTAACAGGCTGCATTTATTATTAATGAGTTTTTGTGTAGAATAATTTGTGTATAATTTGGCTATAAAAGGTATTATTAAAAGCCATCAAGAAATAATAATTTTGTAGTTCCGCTTGTTTAATTTTTAAATAATTAAAATCGTGTTAAAAAAAATGTCATGGTGGATGTCATAAAATTAATATTTCAATGTTAATAGACAATGAAGACGACGTCACACCACCCATTTTTAAGGAGTAAAGTATAAGCAATTTTTCCAAAAATCTTAATTAAGATTTTGAACTATAACGTACACTTATGAATACAGTATTTAGGATACTTTGTTGATTGACACACTTTTTTGTCAGACTATCACAGTAATTTCTATAGGATATAAAATTACAATTTTTTTCCCACTAAAGCAGTTTTACGCAGATTGGATTTTTTCAGGCTTTATAATATATAGTTAAGGAAAGAAATTCATACATGTTATTTAAGAAAAAGTTATCTGTGTTCCAGCATCCTTATTTTTTCGATATACCCAATGCAACCAACTCTATATCATTTTTAAAAAAGTCAAAAAATTCCTTTCTTAAATAATTCCTTTCTGAAATATTAAAACAATTGGCCTAGTAGAGCACAGACAATGTAGTTGTCTATATTATGTGAAAATTTAGTTTCTTAGTTTTGATAACAGCCTTTGTAAAATTAATCAATCAAATTAATCAATTAATTAATCTGCTCAAGGCGAGTTTTAAGAAGAAAATAACGAGTGTGAGACGTCCTCTTACGACAAAAGCGTTACACGTATGTGTATAACTTTTCTTCCTAACTATCAATACAGGCGACTTCTGCAAAATATTACAAGCATTATTCAGAAATATTGAAAAAAAGCGCTCTGTTGTAAAAAGGTAAAGTGATTACTAGTCACATTTCACAAATCCATCTTACAATATCTAATGATTATTATTAATTAATGTACTTGGAATTTTTTCAATTTTAAACCCAATGTCCTTTTTAGTCCTTTCAATGTTTCTTTCAATAATGTAAAATTTAACTGAATCTTTTCCAGCATCTTCTCGTAACGTATAATAAATCTCATCCAATACCTAAAATCATTACATTTTTTTTAAACATTGTGAATACTATTATTACAGATATAATGTGTCTAAAATTATTTTTAATTCTCAGTCTATAACAGTATATATCTTAGTATCCACTATGTTTATACAGTATTTGATTATTATAATTTTTTTTAATATATTAATATATTAAATATATTATTTTTTTCAATTTTATTGTGTGTATCTTATACTGTAAGTTATGTTATCTACGTACAACACGGAATTAATAATAAATAAATATATTTTTAGATACAACAAAAATGCAAAATTACCTTATCAGGTAATTTAATTTCTTTTATTTCCATTGATACTGCGAATTCCTTTATTGACAAACGAATATCTAGAAATCATTATAAAAATATTCATGTTAAAATTTAACAAACTATATTATTATGTCAGAAATTAACCAGTTGCATTTATTATTATTGCGTTTTATAACGGGTAATATTAAAAGGCATCTAAAAAAAAATAATTTTGTTGGTCCGCTTTTTTAATTTATGTAATAGTGTAAAATCGTGTTTCAAAAAATTCATAGGAATGTCGAAAATTAACATTTTGATATTATATACAATTAGTCTAAAGAAAACAAGATAAATTCGTTTTATATTTTTATAACTTGTTCTTCCTAAATTTCTTTACTGACAATTTCTGCAAAACACTATAAGTACTCCTCAGTAATATTGTAAAAAACACACTACATATCGATTAAAATAATTTATATTGAACATCAATGTGATTATTAATTATTTATATATCGGTGCCTAAAAACTATCATGGCCAATCGCAGATTTTCCAAATTTTCAGGAGGAACAAAAAACTTATCACAGATAACTTAAAATTTTTTACAGGCCCTGAGGACATTTGATTGTATCACAGCGACCTCTTGGTGTCAAATATTGAAATTAATAGCATGGTCTCAAAACCATTGGTTTATAAAAAAAAAAAATCTTTGAGATAGGTATGTTTGTATATGTATATTTTACTAAACTATTATTATTCATTGTACCTGGAAATTGGTTAAATATCAATTGATATCCATGTAGTTGATGATTCATTCCCACGCGTTTTTTGATTAAGCAAAATCTTGCTCGAACTGGGGCTGTGGCTACAGAATCTTCTAGTACCGCATCATAAATTTCGTCCAATTGCTAAAATCGTTACATTTTTTTTTTTTAATACACAATGTGATTACTATAATTAGAGAAATAACGTGTCTCAAATAAATATCACTAACCAGTATACAGTTCATTAAGTTTATAGAGTTTTTAATTATTATAATCTTTTTTAAATGTATTATAGATTTAGACAAAAGTTATAGCTAATAAAATAAATTCAGATATTATATCTATTATTACACATTGTTAATACTACTGTTATAGAAATATTTTTGTGTCGAATTAGGTTAATAAAAGAGCTTATTTTTTTTTAATTAGATATATTTAGATAGAATAAAATTCATATTTACCGCTTCAGTAAATTTTAGTTTTTTTATTAATTCTTTAAATTCCTCTTTTGACATACGAATATCTAGAAATCATTATAAAGTGTTGATATTAAAATTAACCAAACTAAATTATGCTGTAACGAATTAACGGGTTGTATTTATTATTATTGCGTTTTTAAGTACAATATTTTGTCATAACGGGTATCTTAAAAAGCCATATAATAACAATAATTGGTTGTCCACATATTCAAATTTTAAATAATATAAAACTGCATCTAAAAAAAAAAATTATGGGAATGTCGTAATATGAATATTTAAATATTAATTACAATTAGTCTAAAGAAAACAATATAAAAGCGGTTTATATTTGTATAACTAGTTCTACTTATCTATCTTTACAGACGATTTCTGCATAATATTATAAGTACTCCTCAAAAATGTTATTAAAAAAGCGCACTACCTACTGATAGTAATTTATGTAAAATATCAAAGGGATTATTAGTTATTCACATTTCACATATATATTTTACAATATCTTTTAATAAAATATTATTATTCATCGTACCCGCCGGCAATAATTCTGTTACATCTGTCATCTGATCAATGTCCATGTAACTTGGTTCTTGGCTAGGTAATTTGTTCCGAAAAGAGCGTCGTATGGTATTCGTGTCCAACATTCCACTTTCACGACATTCAGTAAGGCGTACCAATTCATTAGCCAAATATCTTTGGGCGCCAGCATAAATTTCGTCCAATACCTAAAACCATTATATTTTGTTTTAGAATGGAACATGCTTATCCTTGGCCTCTCAGCTCGAATACGATACAAAATAGCGCCACAATAGTAACGCAAAAGTGGCGCGATCTAGCGGTTGCTTTTTTATATAATATGTATAAAATGTTTTGAGGCAAGTCTTTTAGGTTTTTAGGTCTGGACAATTATTATATGATAATATTTATATCCAGTGCATCAAAAACCTAAATTATTTTATTGTTGTATAAAAAAGTATTCATTACTTATTCACATCCATATTTTATATAATGGATACATTTATATACATTGAAGGTACAAATCCATATAATGGCATTTTTATAAAATGGGTAACCAAACATTTATCCAAATATATTAAAATTGTTTCACAACTAGCACAATTAAATGAATGGTTAAATTTATCCAAAATAACTAACTCAACTGATCAGTTGAATGTTGCCAACAAACCGATTAATGCGAAATAATAATAAACTGTTAAAAAGCATTTGGCCACAGCATAAAATTAAGTCTATACTATCATTGGAATTAAGGTAAATTCAAACATTATTATTTTTTTTTATACACAATGTGAATACAACTATTATATAGAAATCATTTTGTTTCGAATTAGGTTTATTAAATAAACGGTATTTCTTTTTTAATGAGTTATTTAGTTGGATAGAATAATTCAAAATTACCTCATCTTTTTTTATTTCTTTTTTAAATCGCAATTTTGACAAACACATATCTATAAATCATTAAGAAATGATTGATGTTAAAATTTAACAAACTAAATTATGCTGTAAAAAATTAACAGATTATTTTTTTGCGCTTTTGTGTTCAATATTTGGTCGTAGTGGGTACTATTAAAAGCCATATAAAAACAACAATGATGTATTTCCGCTTGTTTAGTTTTTAAAATAATTTAAAATCGTGCTTCGAAAAAATTCATGGGAATTTCGAAAATTAACATTTCAATATGAATTACAATTAGTCTAAAGAAAACGAGATAAAAGCGGTTTATATTAATTATATTACTTGTTCTTCCTAACGATCTATGCATAATATTATTAGTTGTTCACATAATATATATTTTACTAAATTATTACTAATCAACGTACCCGACGGCAAACTTTTAGTTAAATATTCGATTTCCTGTTCAGATAGTATATGCTTCGATCCAATGCTTTTCTTACGTAAGTAGTCTTCTACTGAAACCTTGAGAACACATCTTTTATCGTCTTTTTGTACTACTTTATACATTTCTTCAAGTTGCTAAAAAAATTATATTTTTGATTATACTACACATTACAAATACTACTATTTTAAAAATAATGTGTCCCGAATTATCTCTAGTATATTATTTACTAGGTTTATAGATTATTTAATTATTATAATTTATTTTAATGTATCATATATTTACATATTATGGCCTTATGCCAACTCTCCTCCACAAGATTTTAACTTATGGAAGGGTTGCACACATTCAAAATTCCTACTTTTATAGTATAACTTTTTATTTTTTTTATATTATACTGTACGTTATGTTATCTACGTACACCACGGAATTAATTGCAAATAATTATACTATTAGATAAAAAATTTAAATGAAAATTACCTCATCAGTTAAATTTGATATTTTTGCTTCTATTAATATTTTTAATTCCTCTCTTGACATATGGCTACCAACTAGAAATTATATAAAGTGTTGATATTAAAATTAACCAAACTAAGTTATGCAGTAATGAATTAATAAGTTGCATTTATTTATAATGCGTTTTTGTGTACAATATTTTGTTATAACGGGTATTATTAAAAGCCAATTAAAAAATAATATTTTATTGGTCCACTTATTTAGTTTTAAATATTCTAAAATCGTGTTCAAATAAAATTTCATGGTGAATGTCATAAAATTCATATTTCAAAGTTTATCTCAGTTCGTGTAACCGTAATAAAATTGTTTTGTAACATATTTTTTTAGAAAATTAAGAAAAAAGCGTTACATGTATGTGTATAACTTGTTCTTGCTAACTATCATTACAGGCGACTTCTGCATAATATTACAAGCATTATACTGCATATATTATAATATTATAATCACTCTTTAAAATTGTTAGAAAAAAACGCTCTACCTATCGCTACCTATTAGATATCGCCCTACAATATCTAATAATTGTTATTATGTAACGTACCCGGAATTTTTTTAATTTTAATCCCGTTATCCCGTTTAAAGATATAAGACATTTTTGCAGCACGTTTTTCAAATATGTAAAATTTTACTGAATTGTCGGCAGCATCTTTTCGTAACGTAGAATAAATTTCGTCCAATATCTAAAATCATTACATGATTATTTTTAAAAGACGATGTGAATACTATTATTACAGACATAACGTGTCTCAAACTATTACCACTTTTCAGTATATAACAGTATATAGGTCAGTATTCACTAGGTTTTTTCCCCCTATTAATTTACGGTTTTAAACATAAGTGTTAAGACCCACAACACAAGTTGTGTATATTTTCAGTAAGTGTAAACCGAAAAATTTGATCCTTTACCTCTGATGTTAGAATAATTTCTCCATCATCAAACTTTTACCAGATATTTTACTAACTTCTAAGTTCGTATTGCATAAATTTGTAAAATTTTTGTTTAGTCAAATTTGCGTTGGGGTCATTAAAGTTGGTAGTATTCAGCAAACCACTCGTTTCAAGTCGTAAATGAAGTGCAAAAAAATTGGTTCAATGATGATATGGGTCATAAGAACATAACTAAAATTTTATATAAAAAAAATATCGGATTGAAATTTTTAATTTTTTGGCCCCAAAAAATGTTTTTGAAAAATACATAAATAAAAATTTCCCAGGATTAAAAAATGAAAAATATTTTTTAAAATATGGTTATTGTACACTTAGTTACAATTTTAACTGTGCAAATTTCATGCCTATCCTACTATCGGCAGTTAAATTACAGAGTCGTGAACATGTTTTCTGTCATCAGACCTATAAATAATGAATGATGAAAAATTTCAATATTTTTTGAAATATAGTCGCACACCCATTATCTAATTTTGCGTGGAATGACCCTTATATGATTGTAAAAGATTGGTCTGCCGGCCAAAAAATCTTCGTCAACGAAATACTTAACAAGCCAAGAAGAATTATTATCTAAAGCTAGAAGCCAATGTAAAGTCAATACAAGTATATCTGGACCAGCAATGCAGAAATACTGGTAAAGGAAGAAGATGGATCCAAGACATTTCGTATCCACTGTAAGCATTTTGATTTGTGAGCAATGTACTAACAATTTTGACTGGTCGATAACCAGTTTTGTTTACTATTTTTGAAGTTATTGAAGTTTATAGTTAAGGGCAGTAGGAAAGTCGGAGTATATAAATTACTTTTATCTACGCGCACTTCCCAACCGCATTTACCCTCCCATCTTAACAATTAAACTTTCATCACTTAGTGATTATTAGTTATAATTATTCAAAACTGGTTATCAACCAGTCAAATACTTTGGTACATTATTCTCAATTTAAAAAGTTAGTGAAATGTATGCGTTACCATTTAGTTAGAAGGGTGGATTGAAAAAAAAACAATTAAAAAAATTGAGATCACATTGTACGAAAACATTATAAAAAAAAATTACTTATTAAACCCAATGAGATATTGAGGGGCTCGAGATAAAATGATCACCATAATTATAAAACTATTCACCCCGCATATTGTAGAAACTATCGCCCCATAACGATTTATCAAAAATGATTAAAAAAGAGAATAATGCAATTTTTGAATAATAATATTTGATTAAAAAAAAAAAAAATTAGCCATATAACAAACAGATCAACCGATGACGCATTATTTTCATTTTTAAATCAATAATTTTATCCGTGCAAACCGTGGCGATAGTAACATAAAAACAAAGTTCTAGGAATATTCTTTGATGTCAAAAAAGCATTGTATTTTATAAATTATTTTTAAAGATAATACCCTCTACAAATTGTATCGCCTAGAATTTGTAATTAAACTTAATTACCTATAATAATAGATAGTAAATTTAAATGGAAACGTCATATTAATGCATTAACCAACACAATATACAAATTTTTTTATATATATATTACAATCACTCGTCCCATCAGTTATGAATTACGGAATAATTGTTTGAGGTCAGGTAAGACACTTATACCAAATTATTAAAATAACTGTAAATAGCATAAGTTAAATGTTAAACTCTCTACCATAAGATATTAGGAAAGCAATTTTTACCTTTAACAATTTTGTTTTATTTTTTTTTTACTTTAAAGTAAGTTATGTTATCTACGTACACCATAGAATTAATTGCAAATAAATATATTATTATATAAAAAAAAATGTAAAGTTACCTCATCAGTTAAATTTGATATATTTAATGTTTCTTTAATATAATTCATTTGTATTTTAAATTCCTCTATTGACAAACGAATATCTATAAATCAATATAAAAATATTCATGTTAAATTTAACAAACTATATTAGTATTTAACGAATTAACAGGTTGCATTTATTATTATTGCGTTTTTGTGTATATTATTTGGTCATAATAGATTATTTTTTCCAATTTTTTAGTTTTTAAATAATTAAAAATCGTATTTTTGCATAACACTTTATGTACTCCTCGTTAATGTTGTAAAAAACATACTACTTATCGATAATAATAATTTATGTCAAACATCAATGTGAACAAAATACATATCACTGATATCATTAGGTTTTATAGAGGCCCTGATGACATTTGATTGCATACAGACGGTGTCAAACACTGAAACTAATAACTCAGTCTCACGCGTCTTGATAATACTGTTACGTATCAGCAGTTTATATAAATGTATATATGGTGGGGATTGTCCAATTCGTGTAAATTGGGTTTCATAATAAACATCA